GACAGATTATCAAAGGCCCTGTGTGCTATGAGGAGTTTAGATTATTTATTTATATATTTGGCTGTGTATTTTATAGAATATTGAAATAAAAAAATACAAAACAAAAGTTGGCATCAGAAGATATAAGTTAGAAAGCAGTTTCTGAGTTGGAAAGGGGAAATTTATAGGTCACAGAGCCTAGTTAGCTGTTAAAGTTGAACCTTGAACAGATTGCGAGCTCACTACAGCCAAATCAAATAGGAAAAAAAGAAAAAGGACAGTCACATGACCTGCACTGTTCATGAGGACGAAGCATCAGTTCTCATGACTAGCAAATTTTTTATTGGCTCTGAAATGACTGAATTTTCTTGGATAGAGCTTTATAATAAACTAGTAGCCCTGCACATGAATTCATGCGCCAGTAGCTCATGCCACCTTCCAGTCGCTCTCTGCCAGCTGCTCTGCCCTCCTGTAGCCCCCAGTGGGACAACAAGAAATGTCTCTAGACATCACCAAATATCATCTGGAGGGTGAGGTGGCCCCCCATTGAGAAGCACTGCCTCACCTGAGTTGATCTGAGCCTCACTCCTATTACCCTCTTCTCTCATGTCGCACGAATGTCCCTCCCCGTTGTTTTATTCCAACAACACTGGCCTTCTAGCTCTTTTTGGCTAGACTAGGCTCCCCCTTGGTTTCTTTTCAGTGACCCTCGCCTTTACCTAGAATATCTTTCCTGGGACTCCTCCATGGCGCACCTCCCACCTCTGTCAGGTGTTTGCCCCATTACCATCTTCTTAGCATGCCCTTCACAACCCTCACCACTCCTCTTTCCTGCCCCTACTTTACTTTGCCCCATAGCACTATCACCCAATTTAATGCCTTATTATTTGTTCATTTGTGTGTGGTCAGTCATTCCCAGTGGAATAGACTCGGCATGGGAGAGTCTTATCCACATTTGTATAGTTAAGTGCTCACTTTGTTGAGTGGGTGAATAAGTGAATGCAGGGAGGACTAACATTCTTTTCACCTAGAACTTTTCAAAGTAAGTTTTTTAACCATGGCCTGAAAACATTTCATTAATGTACAAATGGAATGTTTAACTTCAAGCTCTTGAGGAAAATTGAGATTCTGCATTCGGTTTTAAAATTAATCTTTGAGAGTCACTTTTCATTTTATTTGAGGTAGACTTTTACATACAATAATTTTGTAAGGAAGTACTGTTCTGTAATTTTGCTAAGCTACTAATTTGAAGTAAGTTCGTTTTGTCTCTTGTGCTGGTTAAGACTTAGATCAGCCATGCCATTATCATCAGTGTGTTAAATATCTCCAGGTTGGTAAAACAGTTTATAACTTTCAGTGATCAAATAGTTCTCTACACAAATATGCTAAAAACATACTTTCCTAATGTATATTCATAGCTTTTTATAAGTCATCAGTCTAGGAACTATAAAAAGAAGCCTTTTAAAATTATGGGAAAGCTTCTTATTGTTAGAAAATAGAGTAGGAAGAAGTTTAACTTTATGAATGACATGATGAAAAATACACAAAGTTTTAACTAAAATTTTATGGTCAAGGGCCTATAAACTTTTTTCTCATCTTTCTCATTTGATTAAAAGTTTAAGATTAATTCAGCCTACAGCAGTTTTTTCAACAGTCTCAAATTCTTTCCAAGGTTCCTGCTTAAAACAAAGTAAAACAAAATGTATGGCTTTTGTTTTAGCTTTAAATTAAATCAAACCAAAACAAAATCAAAGATATTTGATTTGTGGCTTTTAATAATTTACTTTCATAAGCAACATAGTTTACATGGAATTCACCAGATAAGTTATATGCAAAATGTAACCCCCAAATAACCAAATAAATTTATCTGTAATATGGGAGATCTGACTACAAACCAAGTAGATTTTATAGGACAGCTGTCAAAACTAATGACTCATAGCCGAAACCGGTTTGGCTCAATGGATAGGGTGTCGGCTTGGGGACTGGGGGGTCCCGGGTTCGATTCCAGTCAAGGGCATGTACCTTGGTTGTGGTCATATCCCCAGTAGGGGGTGTGCAAGAGGCAGCTGATTGGTGACTCTCTCTCATCGATGTTTCTAACTCTCTATCTCTCTCCCTTCCTCTCTGTACAAAATCAATAAAATATATTTAAAAAAACAAACAAACAAAAACTAATGACTCATAGTAATTGATTAAGATGCTGAGACCCACTTTGGAATTGTATGCATTGGGCATGCCTGTGTTTACATATCAAAGGTGGTCACAAATCTCCAAATATACAGAGTTCCAGAAATGTCCCCTACAAATAGCAATGGTATTCTCTGTTATACATGTGCACAAGGACAAGATATTCCTTGGAAGACAGTTCTAGAAAAGCAGTTTTCTATTTAAAAGTTGGCCTTTCTAATAGTCCTTGATGTAGCTTCTCTCAGCTTTCCACCACAAAGTTCATGCAAATGCATACAAAAGGAAAACACTCAGGATTTCATGAAAAATCAGACAGGAAGCCAACTATTGCTGGAATGCAGAGGGAATCTCCGCTGGCCACAAAGAGGTGAAAGGTGACAGAAATAGGAGGCAGAACATTTGGCTCTAACATAAGAAACAGCTATTGCTTTTATTCCAATTGCTCAGATTTCTAAGATATAATTGAAGACGATAGTCTTAAACTAAAGGAGACTTAACTATGCAGATTGCAAGTATTTGGCATATTCCTTTAACTAAAACAGTTTCAGTTAACAAAAGAAACACACCTATATAAAATCCGGCAGTTTGGGGTGAGCTAAATGTCACATTTGACTGACCTCTTGGTTGGCTGCTCAGGTCAACGGTCCATCCACTCCTGGTTTAGTCAGGGTGACAAGGACCATCCTCTTATGGGATAATATGTGGTCTCACTGTTCAGGGCACAGTTTTTCTTAGAAAAGGAACCTTTGGGGACAGGAAAAGTTAGGTGGGAGGCTTTAGCAGTACAGCTACAATAGAATGAGGAAATCATAAAGTGATTTTGCATAATGACCTCTGAGGGTTTTCCTTCCAGGAGTTCAGGTTTGAGTCACTACACAGAAATGTAAACATTCAACTCCCATATATGTAGGTTAAAGAGAAAAAAGAAAAATTTTAAATTATGAAGCTATCTAAAAGTCATCTGATTTTTAAAATATAAGCTAAAATAGCATTTGATAAAATTTAATAATCATTCCAGCATTCTACTTAGTGGTAAATTCTACAAACCTCACTTTGAAATCAGAATTATTCTGGAAGAGCCATCAATGTAACCATGAGGACTGGAGAAGAGAAAGGGATTTGATCATTATTTGCAACTGGTATGCACTTTGGGGTGGGAGTGGAGTTGTTTTATTTAGAAAACATAATTCCACTAATACTCACTGATCTATAATGAGAGCTCAGGGTGATGTCTGGTAACATAACTCTAGTATTTTCCATGTCATTAATAACCACTACCAAGTATAATATGATGGGTATTACAAAGAAGGGATGAAAAAACATCTCATTAACAAGAGCCACAAAGAAGTCTAAATATATAGCAATAGATTTATTAAGAAATGGACAAAAACTCTAAAACTTGATTGAGAGACAAAAAAGGAGGGACAAGGTTGCTTTTTCTTTCAGGAGGAAGGAAAGCATTCTGTGTGCTTGGTGGGAAGTACTGGGTATAGATCCTGGGTGACCAAACCTAGACAAGAGGCCAGAGTCTCCAAGGTTAAGGGCAGGATGCTGGGGACCTGGAGACAGAGGGTGGGCCCAGGAGGGGCTGTGGGCAGGGGGCTGTGGAACAGAGATTTGAACACCTGCCTGATGTGTGGGGCTTGGGAGAGCTGGAAAGGTGTTTTTGTCTGTTTTATTTTGATTTTTTTCAGCAGCAAGATTTGCTTATGCAACTCTCCTGTGCTTTTTTCCCTCCCCTCTTCATGAAAATCTGCAGTAATCTGCATTGCTTATACAGGCTTTGGAACCAGAGTTACATTTCTTGTAGACTTGCACCCGCCTGAGGGTGGAAAGAAAAAGAGAGAAGGAAGGCTCTATTTTATTTGGATTTTACCCCTGTCTCAGAAATGAACCTTCTCATTGGATTCAGTCCTCTGGGTCTGAGTTACAGTCTTTTACTAAGAAAATGTGAATATCATAAACCCAAAGGGCAACAGGTGACTTCAATTGCAGTCCTTGTATTTTCCCTTGCACTCAGGTCATCTGCATGGCTATAGATTGAAGCTAATTTACAGGTGGATTCAATAAATTCCATGCTCTGGAAGGTGGTCTGAGGAGGACATTTGATAATGTTTTGTCACAAGAGCTGTCTATGCTGCAGGATTTTTTACTTGCTTGGCGTGACATCTAACTTAAGGACTGTAGTACAATATATCTGCTCTAGCAAAATTGCTATTTTCATGTCAAGTCAACAAAACTGAATTTCCCCCCCTTAAAATAAAGTTATCTTTTCCATTTCTATTTTAGGAAGATTGAAAATGGTTGAAGTAATTATGAGTAAAGAATCATAAAAAGAAATGTTTGAAATTAAACTATAGAGAAACATATAATTTTTTAAAACAAAACAAAACAAAACACATTTTTACTGATTTCAGAGAAAGAGAGAGGGAGAAAGAAACATCAATGATGAGAGAGAATCATTGATTGGCTACCTCCTGCACGTCTTCCAATGAGAAGGTTCATTTCTGAGACAGGGGTAAAATCCAAATAAAATAGAGCCTTCCTTCTCTGGGGATCAAGCCCACAACCTGAGCATGTGCCTTGACCCAGAATTGAACTGTGACCTCCTGGTTCATAGGTTAACACCAACCATTGAGCAACACCAGCCGGGTCATATACCATCCCTTTTAAAGCTATGATTTTAACCAGATCATGATACGAGTGATATGAGTGAAAATACTCAGTGTTGGTATGATTATAAAAAGAAATGATGCTTTTCAACTTTGAATTTCACAGCCAAAGCCTACACTTTAGAGGATTCCAGTAACATACACTGTATATTTGTGTTTTAGGCGACTTTTTCCTGTGACTGCGATGAGCAATATGTGGGGGCTTTCTGTGAAGAATTTGATGCCTGCCAGAGGACACCCTGCCAGAACAATGCGAGCTGTGTTGATGCAAAGGAAAATCAAGATGGGAGCAATTTCACTTGCGTCTGCCTTGCTGGTATGGTTTCCGGAACTCACCATTAATATATACCACTCTGTAGAACATACACTTATTAATTAATAGTGGTTAAACAATACTTTGTCCAGCTGTTGGACAAGGGAACTTCAAGGTCCCATTTGATTCTATCAGTCTGTGCTTTATATAATCTAGGAACAGGAGAAGGAAGCTCCCATGAGGATAAACATCCTGCCACTTGGCTGGCTTTCTGACATTTCCATGGTAGCGTTCTACCATTCTATCCTTTTGGGCTAAGGATATTCTTGATCAACTAGAGGCCTGGATGTTTCAAAAACAATTCTTTAAAATAGGCACTGAGTGTGGGTTGGTATTGTGCTGGTTGATTATGTTAAATAATAAGAAAAATACAGTATCAGATACCCAGGTTGTTATGTAAAGCCACCTAATCTTTCTGCTTATGTTAATTTCCTTTTGTTCATATATAGTCATTAGACTGAATTCTTGGTACACTCTTCTCCACAATGAGGCAAGGGATTCCTTAATTAGTACAAGGGTTTCATGGATACTACATGAGATTTTCAAATCCTTGGAGCACAATGAGTGATTCTTAGGAGACTTCTGTGCTCTGCCAATCATCTTAACTGACTTTCAGTTTAGCCAATGAATTCTACACCTTCAAGGAGCAGGAATGGCATTTATCAGTGAACATGTTAATACAGCTGTTTTGTTTTTAAAAGCAAGCACCAAATTACTCCTTTTTTTATTATCAAGTAACATGACATCATCCTTCAAAACTGACATCTTTCTTCTTTTATCTCATTCTGTTGCCAACTTCTGCTACTGGGTGGGGATTCAGGCTGAGGTAGGGGTTGGGGTAAAGAGAAGGGTAGAGTGAAATGGGCTTTGGGAGACTAAATGCTCATTGTAAGCAACAAGACCTACCAATGGAGAAGTTTATGAATGAAAAAGTGAAAGCCTTTTACTTATCTATTAACACAAACTTTATCATCTCACTAGAGGCCCAGGGCACAAGATTCATGCATGGGGATGTGTGTCCCTCAGCCCAGCCTGCACCATCTCCAATCTGAGACCCCTCGAGGGATGTCTGACTGCCTATTTAGGCCCAATCACAGTAGGATTGAGACTCAAAGGGCAGTCAGACATCCCTCTCACAATCTAGGACTGCTGGCTCCCAACTGCTCGCCTGCCTGCCTTCCTGATTGCCACTAACTGCTTCTGCCTGCTAGCCTGATCACCCCCTAACCACTCCTCTGACAGCCTAATTCATGCCGAACTGCTCCCCTGCCAGCCTATTTGCCTCTAACTGGGAATTTTGTAACTTGGCCAAGAATATTAGTCAGGACAATACTGGATTGTGCTGTATTAACACACCAATCCCCACATCTCAGTGGCTTCTAAGAAAAGGTTAATTTCTGCTGTGTTGTAGTCTGATGAAAGCACTTGCCTCCAGGTGGTCACTCAGGGATCTGGAGGGTCTCCTATGATGTTCTGAGAGCAGTGCCTGGAGATATCTTTTATCACTTCCACCACATGTCATTAGCCAGAATTGGGTCACTTATTTCCTAAAGCAGTGTTTCCCAAAGTGTGGTATGCGTACCCCCAGGGGTATGGGAAGAGTTTGGTGGGATACGCATTGCACCGTGCTTAGCTGCGCCTAATTCTATGTTCTCATGAGTACGAGGGGTACTCAGCGTTATGAAAATTATAGAAGGGGTACACATATGTCAAAAGTTTGGGAAACATTGCCCTAGAGTGTTGCCTAGGAAGAGGTTAAACATTCTCATGATCTCACCAATAACTGCTAGGACTGGGATTTGAACCCAGGTCTTCCTGCCCACCTCCAAAACCCTTGTTTTCAACCATCTTATTACACTCTAAGTATGCAGCCACACTAAGTGCTGAATCCTTTCATGGTACAACTATGCGATTCAAACCTATGCCTTTCAACTTCCTTATCTCAAACAGGTCTATTCTTAAAAGAAAAAGTACTGGTATTAGGCAATTTTGTCCAAAAAGGGAACTGGTTGCTTATAGTGAGGAGTTTTATACTAAATTTAGTTCTGAGTGCCCTTGAAAAACTTATTTTCCATAGGAAAGGTATATGTCCTTTGTGGAAGAACCATGTACAGTTAATTAACATCAACACATTGACCTTTGATGCTCCAGATATATACATCAGCTCTATAAGCAGTGGGAAGTGTGTTTTCCTTTTGAAAAATGTATCTTGCTGTGTTCTGATTGTTGACATTTGATCATGAGGAATTACCTTGTTTGATGAATGAATGAATTCAAATCAGAGAACAAAAGTCCCCAATAAAGTCTTTTCACGGAGATGTAGCCTTGACTCAGCGGCCATTTCTCTTGAGAGGAGAACATTTCTTGGCGAGTGAAAATATTATTTTCAGCCAAGAAGTTTCAGCTCCAAATTTGCTAATATTTTGTTATTTTGCTCTTATTTCTACATCAAATGCCAGTACAGATAGCAGTTTTTAAGTCATGGGTAATCTGTGAATGAATATGGTGCATTGGATGTGGAGTTGGTTAAGTAACAAACTGTTATAGTTTTCATTTTTAATACAATTTATTGGAAAGCAGAAAATAGTAAAACACTGATCAATAGTAAAACATTGACTAATGCCATATACATACAATAGAAAATTAATAATAGAATATGGTCAGTAAAATTTCTATTTTGAGGAGGAAGTTTTTAGCAGGTGTAATTGATTTTTTAAAAACTTTTTTGGAATACTTTAAAAAAGAAGGGGATTGTCAACAGCATCACCACTGTAGGAAAATCTAAGAGGAGGTTATTGGCTTTGCCAACAAGAGGTTATTGGTTTTGTCTAAGCCTTGGCAGCCTCCTGTTTGTAGGGATGTTATAAAGGTTACAGGAGTTCTGAGGTCTCTCTAAGACTACATAGAGGAACAAAGCAAGGGAAGGTAACTAGACTTTATCAAACTCTCTGAAGGGCAGCAGCATATTTGGCGATAGTCGCTGCCACTCGGTTTCCATTGACCTAAGAGCTTTCTCAAGTGACACCGGTTGGCAGAGCTGAGGTACAGAGGATATGGGCATGATGTGAGAATGAATGAACAGCAGCTACAGAGTGTTGTAAAGACAAGATTAGTGGCAACATTAATGTGAAGAACAGAATCAGAAAGGTCTCTTTGATTTTTTTAAAAATTATAGCTTACTGTTTAAGAGGACAGGCTCTAGAGCCAGATGCCCAGATGACAATCATAAATCCCACACAATTGGACCTTAAATGTGGGTTATTTCCCATCACCACAGGATGAGCTTCCAGGAGACCCTCCCTGCTTGTTGCCTGAGGTTACAAGAGCACTAAGCGCCAGAGGTAGGAGACCCAGGATCACCTACCCTGGAGCCCTGACCCCTGCATGTCCCACTGACAACAGCCTCTGGAGCCAGCAGTGTAAATTCTGCTTCCATCCCTGCCACTTCTAGCTGGGCTCCATAGGCAAGTTACCTAACCTCTCTGGGCCTGCTTCTTCCTCTCTGCAAGGAGATTACAACAACCCTCGCCATGAGTATTAAATGAGAATGAGTATTAAATACCTTGTTATGAGTATTAATTGAGAACGTAAGCTTGTGGTCTGTTCTGTGGACATGTATCTCCAGTACCTAGCCTAGCACATAGAGTTGCTCAATAAAGATTTCCCTAATGAGTGAATGACTAGAATAAAATGAAATTCTATACAAGGCATGCTGTAGAGGCTCAATTTCCTTGCCTCTCCTCCCTCTGCCTCTGCCTACTCTCTCTGGGCTCCTCCCTATGGTACACATGTTTTTTTTGCCTCTCTCCCACACCAGGTCATGGCTATCCTGAGGGAAGCAACATCATATTGCATTACTCTTCATCCCTCTACTCCCTGCCAGTGCCGAGCCCCGTGCCTTGCATGCAACAGACACACAATGAATGGTTAACTTGAATGTTAGGTTTTTAAATCAGGATTTATTTTCAGAAAAGCCTTCTCATTTGAAGAATATGGTTTTTCCTCAAAGGAGCTATTTCTTTTTCTGCAAAGGATAGCTATGATGCAGGTTCAGAGCCACCATTGCCAAAATGTTATCAGCACCATGCAAAGCATTTTTCAACTTCGGAGCACCTCATTGTTCAGCTAATTGGTGATTTCAGCCTATTTTTAAGACCTTGTTATTTTGGACGCAAGGGGAACGAGTGCGTGTTCCTGCCCAGCTTTACTTGTTTAATTAAGCACCGAGTGTTGCTCAGATGGCCTTGCGGTGTCTTTGTGTCGTGAGTTAGAAAGGGGTCGCCTCTTCCTGGAGATACATCCTGAGCAGATTTGCGGGGTGTACGCACACCCAGGCTCACTTGGCTCAGGAAGGGAGCACCTTAGTGGGTCTTGAGTGTGGTTTTTAAAAAACAGGTTAGGTCAGAGTTTCAGAATGGAAGGAATGTTGGGACTTGCCTCTGTATGGGAGTGTGGGAAGCAAGGCTGAGGGACTTGCCCAAGGTCACAGAGCTCACAGAGAAACAGAAATTCTGGTCACTTCCTTCTCTGCCCATCTTTGGGTCAGAGTGTGTTTTACCAACATATTCAAGGTTTGTGAATTTCCTGTGAGTGATGAAGGGAGCAGGAGGCTTGGACATCTTTGGCTGTGAATGTGTTGCTTACAATGTGTTCACCACTGTTTGGGCAAGAAACAAAGGAAAATGTATAACACTGTGTCAGAAATTTGTTCCTTTTTATGCCTGAATAATAATATTCCATTGTATGGATACACCAAATTCATTAACTCATACATCCATTGATGGGCATTTGGATTGTTTCCACCTGCTGGCAGTTGTGAATAATGTTGCTATGAACTTCACTCTCCATATGCTCTCCCTTCTCTTCTCCTCCAGGATCTTCCACTTCCAATCTTTTCAGTCTTCATCTCCCTGCTGTCTCCATCACCCTCCCCAACCCTTCCCTGGCCTTCTGGCCGCAGGATTCACGGCTCTCATCTGAATATCAGTCCCTCAAACAAGCAA